GTGAGTAATTTTGCAGGCTAGGAGTCAGCTTCAGAAAACAAATGTTGTACTTTTTGAATCACCACAGATGCTGAAGAGAAAGAAGTCAGAGCCATAGTGGGCAGCGACGTCAAGCTCAGCTGCATTCACACCGAAGAAAGAAGTTTTGATTTAAATGAACTTCATGTTTATTGGCAAATTAGCGTTCCTGGTAACAACAAGCCAAAAACTGTGACTTTCTACCTAGCCGGGAACAGCTCCGTGGGCCATGCCAATAACCAGTACCAGGACCGGGCCGAGATGTCACTGGACGGCATGAAGCAGGGCGACTTCTCTCTGCATCTGCACAACATCACCCCCCAGGATGAGCAGAAGTTCAACTGCCTGGTGTTCAGGAACCTCGAGCGGGTTCTGGAGGTTATGGTCTCGCTGCACGTGGCAGGTAAGAGCGAGGATGCTGACGGCCGACTTCATCGCAGCCTCCAGCCTGGAGCGAGCATAAACGAGCCCGCTTATCTGGCTCATTCACCTTTTTCTTCCCAGGGAGAAAATCCCAGTCTCAGCAGCCTTCTCCTTACCTGTGCAGGAAGCTGAGTTGGCTGAAACATCATTCAGCTTGTAAGAAAGTTTTGCGTAACCCCAAGCTCCCTGTTTCACAGAGATTCTCCTAATCTTGGTGTCCTTGCCTTGAACTTGCCAGCTCAACTCCAAGTAGATTTTTTAAAATAAAATCAGGAAGGAGTGCTCTCAGGCAGTGTTGAGGTCAGAATTTAGGAGGGAAATTAAAAATCAATCAAGATGCTCAGGGCGCTGTTTAGTTCAGGGATGGACTGTATTCATTTCCGATGACTGCAAGCTCTCCATGTCACTAGATGCAAATGAGACAGCCTCTTTGGAGCAGGGAGTGGGTGCCAGTCACTGCCCCCAGGCTCCAGCTCCCCTACTGGGGCTGGAGAGAGTGACTCTTGGGCAGAACAGGGCCAATGCCCACTGCCCAGACCACAGCCCTGGTCCTGCCTCTCCACCAGGGTCAGGGGCACAACAGGCCACCTCCCCTCTAACCTGGCCCTGGGCACTGGGTACCCCTCCATTTCTGACTTTCAGAACCTGGCATCCCTCACCTCCCGTTTTTCTCCCCTGCAGCAAACTACAGCATGCCCGTGGTCAGCACCCCTAGCAGCACCCCCGAGGACAAGGAGCTCACTTTCACGTGCACGTCCACGGATGGCTATCCCAGGCCAAATGTGTACTGGATCAATAAGACGGACAACAGCCTGCTGGACGAGGCCCTGCAGAATAACACCGTCTCCCTAAACGCGCGGGGTTTGTATGACGTGGTCAGTGTCCTGAGGATCCGGCAGACCCCCAACGTGAACGTTGGCTGCTGCATCGAGAATGTGCTTCTACACCAGAACCTGACTGTCAGCACCCAGCAAAAGCCAGGTAAGGTCCCCCGGGGTCTGCATGCTGGCCCCAACCCAAGGTTGTGGGCCCAGGGTGATGGGAGATCCTCCCAGGCAGAAGACAAAGTCCCTACGAGGTGACCCAGCCGTGGCATCAGAAAGGTGATTGTAAGGGAGGGAAGAGTCAGATCCGTGGTGACGGAGTCACGGGGCAGGGCACTGAGTGCACAGAGCTTCATCTTTGCTCATGGGGCCAGTTTGGTGACCCATTTCATATAAGGGACGGAAGCTCTGAAAGGCTGTGTAACACAAGAGAAGCCCCAGGACTAGGCAGCGACACCTTCAGGATTGAAGGCCACACCCACACAGCCCCCACCGAGCTCCTTGCCTTTGGACGTGTGCCCCCTGAGAAGGCTGGGCCCCCCATATTAGGGGCTCCAGCTGGGCCTGGCTGCTGGTCCGAGGCCTCCCCATGGAAGGGGTGCAGACGAGTGACTCCTTCGTAAAGGCCCCAGGCTCTCTCCGCCTGTGTCCCTGTCACCAGTGTTGAGATGAGGGGTGGAAGGGGGAGGCGCATCTGGGCCAAGCCTGCTGCAGGAAAGGAGTGCCGGTCGTGACCTGTGGGCCTCGGGGCACAGTGGGAAGGGCTCCTTACTCCGGGCTTACAGGAATCCACAGTGGGGACCGCAGAGCGCAGGCCGTGGGCCTGCACAGGTCACAGCTGTGCCGCAGGCCCTGACCGACAGTGTGGGTGAAGCATGAACACATGCTGAGTGAAAGCAGCCAGTCCCGAGACGTCACGCGGTGCACGTTCCCCTCCATGTGAAACGCGGGGAATGGGCAAATCCTCAGACAGAGTAGGTCAGAGGTTGTCCGGGCTTCGGGGGGCAGTGAGGAGTAACTGCTGACGGCCGTGGGCTTTCTTTTGGGTGACAAAGCAGTCCTGGGATTAGGTAATGGTGGGGACTGCGCTGCATCGGGAATGCAGCGAGCGCCACTGAATCGTTCGCTTTCCAACGGTTAGTTTCACGTCACGTAAATGTCACCTTCACCTTTTTTTAAAAGTCAGCAATAAAGGTAGAAAAAGATTAAATTAAGTTCGATGTAAAAAGCCAGGGAGAACCTGTGCTTCCCGCCACGGCCCTCTCCAGGACCTTTGGACAGGCTGGGGTTGCCCGGGCAGGTGGGGAGGAGTGACGCCTGGAGAACAAAGCCCTTCTCTCCATCAGCTTTACGTTTCAAAAATTACAACAGGATGTCAGGGGAGTGCTGTGGAATTAATACTCCCTGCAGTGCTTCAAGTACTGCAGAAAAGACCCTTGTCCTGTAAGTCTCAGTCCTTTCCCTCTTTCCTTGTAGAAACGTTCACAGGCAACCACAGAGAAACCCCAGGTGACACCCACACGGGCACATCCACGGCCGTGGCGGCTGGGGTCACGCTACTGCTGATCGTGGCCATGGCCATGGCTGCAGGCTGGTGGTGCAGGAGCCGGTGTCCTCGCTGGGGCTACGCAGGTACCAGGCGGGGCGGGGCGCTCATGTAGAAGGTTGGCGATTATTTGGTGGGAGTCACCGTTGTTGCTTTTCTCAAGGTGTTTAAAAACTCTGCAAAGAGCTGGCTTCATTTTGAGTGCAGTTTCAGTGGTGTTAACATCCTGAGCGGGCACAGCTCCGCCAAAGCTCCCACACGTGGATTGGAAGCCCGAGGTCTGCGGCGCCACGGTCCTGACACTGTCTCCC